GCCCTCCGCTCGTGCAAAGTCCTCGCCGGGTGATGGTGCAAAAAAAAAAAAAGCGTCGGGGCCGGAGGCTCTGTTGGCTCCCTCGCTTCCACTGCCATATCTCCTCCCTCGCCGCTGAGTGTTGTCCCCACTTTCGGTCCGCACCCCCGGATCACCCCTCGGACCGGCATGAAGGCCACCACCAGCGACACCCGCAGCCGAAGCACCGGGAGGCTCCTTTTCAATGGAGGCACCAGACGCCACAGGAGACAACTGTGGACGAGTATCCTCCGGAGAAGGCGACCCTGAAGCAACCGCAGACTCTTCTGCTTCCTCCTCTTGATCGTAACCCTGTCCACCCACCAACGCGCTCGGGATGACAAGACTGCTGCCGTTCGCGGCAATGGTGCACACCTCGCCGTACGTGGGGCAATTGATCCTCCCATCTTTCTGAAAATATTTCAACGCCACTGGGATGTCAGTGTCCTCAGGGCAAGGCTGAAAAACACTGCTGCCGAGGTGCCTCTCCTTCACTGTGCCCTCCTCACACGACACCTGCGCACACTCCCTTGACGCTTTCATGGCCATCACCGTCCTTCGTCTCCAGTAATTCCGCGTCCAGGCACCACGAGCCGCCGCCAGTCAGCGACCCACGGAGATAATCCACATTTTCGTCCGGGCACGTCCTGTACGTTGTCCCAGACGATATTTCTTGAAATTCGGAAGATACGACAGGGCAAACGTCCTTATCCACCAGACTCTCCTTGTCTTCAACGATGCTTGCGGTGCACGTCCCAACGTGACGGCGGTCGGAGGTGCAGCGAAGCGTCTCTGTGTCTTTAGCATCGCAAAACATGTGAGGATACTTGGCGGCAAGATTATCGGTTGTATTGCACTTGTTGACCAGGAAGTCGCAGCCACTGCGGTGGCCCCAGCTCATCGGCTCCGCCATGCTCCAATTCACGCGGTAGTATCCCATATCAGCAAAAGCCGCCATCGTCAGAGCCGTGTAGTAGCCGGCACCAACTGTGGGGCCATCAGCTCGTCCCGCGCGTGGCGTCCCTTCCAGTGAGGGATTTCTTTTTCCCGAGGGCCATCTTCGTCCTCCAGCACCATGCCCTCGAGAGACTTACAACCAAAGTGCGCTTTCGTCTTCTCCTGAACGTGCTTCCCTGCCACCATCCTGCGGTGCGTCCCACGCACACCTCTCTCTCGCTTCTTCACCAGGCTCTTTTCTTCCATACTCTCCTGGCTGAACCAAAGTGCATGCGCAATTTCGTGTGCGGCAACGCGAACGCTCCACGCCGTGTCAGTCATATACTTTGGGTCAAAGTTCATGGCGCCAATGTAGGGGCAAAAATCTGTCAGTGTGTTACACGTGGCCGTCCACACAGCCCTGCTATCCGTGCCTGATGGCCTAGCAGCAGCGTAGATGATAAAATCTGCATTCGGCACACCGTCACTCTTGTGCCTGGTAGGAACCGTAAAATGGCTGCACGGTCCATTCATAGCCCTCGGTAAAGTTATCGTCCCACCAGTGGGTTTCACAAGGAGTCGCTCAGTGTGCAGTTTGACGGCACCGGGAAGAATCTTTCAAGTGTACAATTGTTTATTTGCCTCCGTCAAGACATGCTCTGCTTTGCATGACACCCTTTGCCCCAATGCATTGTAGCACTCATCCTCTCCCTCATCGCAGTGCTTCCTCTTGTTCGTGCCTCTCTCCAGATCCTCTGTGGACACCGCAATGCGGATCGGCTCCCAGCCACTGTCGTCATCCTGTGTGGCGACGGTGTACGTCTGTATCGCGCCCTGTCCCTTGCGCGGCACCTCACGCACCACCGCAGTCGGCAGCGGGCCGCTCCTCCTCATCATCACGTCAAACCCACACTGGTACTGTGTGGCGGGTACAGCAGCAACACACCCACTGGTGCAGCACATCAGCAGCAACACCACCAGTGGGGAAAGCAGCGTGTCGTGTCGTGGCTGGCGCATGACTTGAGTAAAATGCATTTCTTGGTTTCGTGTGAGTAGCAGCAGCGCTGCAGCCTGGATGCGCGAGGCGGGAGTCAAAGGAAAAAGAAGAGTAAGAAAAACAAAATGGCTTTGGACCAGTAATGCGTCAGAATGCGGCCCACGCAGCGGAGTAACAGGAGACCACAGAGGCGGCCATACACACAGCATGCGCACCGACTCCACCAAAGTGACAATCCGTCAATCCGTCGTCGAGAGAACGTCCATCATCGTCGCACAGAGTCATCATCGACCGCAACGCTCCCTCCACGCGGGTGTTTGGTCTGCTCTCCTCGTGGTGTCGCAATATTTGTGTGATCGGCCACTCAACATCCGCCAACGGCACAGCACCAGTCCCAGTTGCAGGAGCATCGCACAGCGCGCTCTCCCAGCAGATCATACCCTGTTGCATAACCGCACGGCAACTCCAATTGTGATGCGCAGCCCTGAGGCGGAGATGCAAAGAGTCATGCGGACGGACCTTCTTTCACTGCTCTCCTTTCGGGGAACTCGACAACAAGCGTGCCGGCGGTGCGATCATTATGACCGTTCCATCCGCACTGCCACTGGCCAAGGAACTTACTGTGAGCTCAATGCGTAGAGGTCACCGTGTCCGCCGCTGCTCTCCCGCCGCCCCACGACCACGCCGGCACTTCCAACAGAGCGGATCGGAGCGTCGCCAAAGGCAGCCACAGGCGCCAACAAGCCGAGTCCAATGGTGCCCGCTGCGACATTCCAAAGCGCGCTGAGAGCTCCTCTAGCAGTGCAGGGGCTGCCCACTTGTGTGCGATATGGCGTGTGTGTGCATGTGCATGTGCTTGTGTGTTTGTCAGCGCCCATACTTGCAGAGCAGCTGTGCGGCACAAGAGAGTCAGAAGAAAAGCAACGGCAGAGAGAGGCAGATAGCACACACGCAAATTACTCATATCATCACACACAAACACACACACGCAGCCCGCGGAATGGGTGCTCTCAACCACAAAAAAATGAAAAACAATAAAGCAAGAAGCCGAGGTGTGGGACGACCAGCGCACACACTCTCATTGCTCCCGTAAAGCAAAACACACACACAGGGAGAGAGAGAGAGAGAGAGAGGTCGCCCACTCAAAGCAACGGAAACAAAACAAAACAGTTACGGTGCTCCGCCCATGCAGCCAGGCAGGACGGCAGCGGTGCGTGTGGTGCAAAAGAGAGCACCAACGGGCCTGCATGGGTGTGCATGCATATATACAGTGGTCACATTATGTGTGTGCTTCGTGGGGTGAGGTGAGGGCGAGAGTCCATGCAAGGGGACACACAGAGAGAGAAGGAAGAGAGTGTGTGCGGGCGGTGCACGGCTCTCTCTCACTCACTCTCACGCGGCCACCACCGCAGCAGCAGCAGCACACGCAACAACAAGAAGAAGCAAAAGAGGGGAGGTGGTGTGGGAGACCGCGGTGCCGCTGTCACTGCTGCCAGGCATAGCCGTTTCACCTGTTTTGGCGTTTGTGGTTGGCGCTGTTGTGGATCCCGCACTCTGAGAGACCGTATCGTATTTGTTGGCTGATGCAGCTTCACCATCGGAAATACTTCCGAGTGGTGTGTCGCTGTCAATGGAGGGTCGGTTCGGATGATTGTTGGTTGGAGTGCCTTCTGTGCCAGTGTCGGACTGCATGGCCGTAGCTGCCGTGGTGCTGCTGCCGCTGTTGCCTTTCGTTGTTGCACCACGCATTTCTTCAACCGTCATAACCGGCAATCGTGAATCTTCCTCTCCACCCGTTGGTGCGACAACTTTTTCGCCGGCGTCTTTGTTCTGTTCAATGTCTTCTGCGACAGACTGCTGAGAATTCCTCGTGCCATTGCCGTTTTCGTGACTTTTCTCGTCACCACGGCCAGCTGCAGATGTGGATGATGGGTTTCCATCCGCTGCGCTGTTGGGTAATGGAAGCTGCAAGGGACTCGGCAACTCTTGTTTATCTTTATTTACTTGCAAACTGTCTTCTGATGGTGTTATCGTTTCAGCTTCATGAGTGCCATTCAATGATGGTGGCTGTAAGCCTTCGTTGTCATGCGACTGCCGGTGCTTCACTGATATCAGCTTGTTTTCAGGCTCTTTCACCTCTTGACTTGTTCCGTCACCTTCCCTTTTCCTTTTCAACCAATTTTACATCTTCGTTTCTTCTTGCTTTTTCTTCCTCGGCAGCACCTTCGGTTCCTGACACAGTTACTTCAGGAGGTGGTGAGAGAGCTTGTCCTTGAACATTTGGTAGTGGTGTTTCTGGGCCTGCTGTGTGTGATCCTGGCGTTTCAGGGCGCGGTGAATCCTGTGAATCTACACCTTCCCCCACAAGATCACCGGAAGCATCAGACTGAAAACCTGCGGATGCCTCTTCACAACCGCCGTCGGCACCGCACCACAGCACGCAGAGGGCACACACCAGCAGCACACGGCCAGTCATCATCATCGCCATCACTCCTGCCACTTGCCTGCAGCCTTCAGCACAAACCAACTCCCCGTCAACGCAGAGCGGAAGCAAAAGGAGAGACACGGCCGCTACACCACGCACAGCCACCGCACAGTCACAAATGGCAGCAGCCCAGCAGCGGCAGCGCACACACACCATGAGGCAGTTGGAACCAGTGAAAGGGCAAAAACACACAACGCCCCGCAGCAAGCAAACAGAAAAACACACAAAACAATTAGAAACAAAACAAAGCTAAACAAACAGCAATGAAGCAAAAAATGTGAACACACAAAACAAACGGCTGCACAGTATGGCTCCAGCGCGCACGCACCCATCCTCAAATGTGATTCCACGCAAACAGTTGTGTGCGTGCCATGCATATGAGTGTGTCTGGGGTGCGTTCAACGTGACGGATGCGGGGAGCGACAAGGAGCACACAGCAGGGCAGCGGAAGCAAGTGAAGCAAAACACAATCATTAGTTTATCCTGTTTAGTACATCGGACCACAGTAGACGCACACAAGTCCCCGCGGTTGAGTGCTGGCACGCACAGCCCGCACACAATTCTTCAGCCCAGAGTGGTGTACGCCAGCGCGGATACGGCGAGCAGCAGCGGGGCACACACCCACGCAGAGCTGCTGAGGCTGCCGTCGATTTCGCGAAGAAGTGACGGTGCGCGGGTGGTCGTTGTGGTTGGCGCCTCTGTGGTCGTAGTACTTGGTGCCTCTGGCGCAGTGGTCGTCGTGGTGGTTGTCGTGGTTGTCGTGGTCGTCGTAGTTGGCGCATTTGCCTTTTGAATTTGTTGGACTGGGTCAGCGGATCCACTTGGTTGCTCTTCTGTAATAGGCCCCGGAGGTGTTGGATCGGGACTTGCTGACGGAGCCGATCCCATGCCTGTCTCTTGTACGGTATCGGTCGTCGTGCCTGAATTCGGTTCTTTACCGTCCGTCTTGTTTGGCCCTACCGCATCGTTTTCACCTGGATTTTGTGTATTACCGTTCCCGGAACTTAATCCTTGTGACGTTTGGCTCTCACTTCTTTTGTGTTCTTTACTGGACGTACTTCGCGACTCTGGCCCAGCGGGCCCCTCTGGCAAAGCAGGCGATAAACTGGAGCCGTCCTCCTCTTGATCTTCACCAGTCCCTGTCACGCACACGGACGGGCAGCAGCACAGGGCAAGCACCAACAGGGCGCACAGCAGACGGCACGTCATCATCGTGAGTGTGGTCGTTCAGTGGTGTGGAGCTGATCTGCACAGTGAGGGACATGGAGAGCAACAGGGGAGACGAGAGGTGCGGCAGACACACACAGAGGGCAAACACACATGAGGAGAGGGCAGCAGCCAGGCATGCACCGTACGCCGCACACCACGCACGACACACACTCCAATCCACGGCAGCAGGCACACACACACACGAGAATAGGTGCAGCGCCCACAGCAACACAACAGCAAAGTAACCATTGAAAAAGGAGAGATCACCGCACACCACGTGGATTGTTGGTCCACGGGAAGCGCAGCCACCACAGCAGCAGCAGCACACGCAAAGTCAAGCGCAAGGAATGGAATAAAGCAGCCATTTATTCGTGTTTCTTTTTGGAGGGTGGAAGGTGTCTGCATATGTTGTTATTGTTTTTGCGGAGGGCAAACCTTCATGCCTGCATCGTCTGTTGGGGGTTCCTGCAGTGTGCACAACTGTTTCCTTCTCTTGTGAATTTTTATTGTGTTGGTGCAGCCAATAATTCAATTTGTGTTGTTCCTGCTTTTCGCTGGTAAAGTGCTGCAATAGATGTTTTTATTTCCTCCTTCGTTGCTGTGGCACATGATTCCTCACCGTTTATTGCGGTGGAAATGAGAATATGTGAGTGGACTCCCACGCACCAGAACGCACCTTCGCTCCTATTTATTGGTGCACAGAAGGGCATGTGTGTTTGGTGGTGTCTCGTCCATGTATTCTTGTGGGCGTACATTCTCCTGCAGGCTGAGGGCGGGTGACGCTCCGTCGCGGTGCACTTCCCTCGCATGCCGCCCACTGTGATTCATCATGCATCACCCCCTCACACATTCCGTGGTGCCACACCGTTGATATTATTGCAGCCGCTGTGATTCCGCGTATTTCACGCATTTCATTGTGCCACAATACATCCGCTCGTGTGGCCGCCGCATCCAAACAGCGGTGCCCAACACCGTGAGCGGCAGTCCACATCCTTGCATTTCCCAGCGCAGTGGTGCTTGACTGTCAGCCAGGCGTCAGACAACACGAGAGTATTGTGCTGGCAGTACAACACACGGAGCTGCAGTGAATGACTCGGGCGGCGACGCATCTATTTGTTGCAAGGCAGTGAAAAGGAGTCGGACAAAATAATGCCGGCTGCATGCACGACACCATATCCACAGCCAAAGCATGCGACTTGATGTGTGTTTCATTGGTGCTGTGAAATGCCTGCAGACGACGTCACTAGTGGAGGCACACCACCCATGATCAGCGGACAGACAATAATCGGCATGGGAGGCCACAAAAGGCAGCAACGACGCCAGCAGCAGCAGCTCTCTCTCTCTCTCTCTCTCTCTCTGTTGCCTCCGAGAAGTAATTATTCCACCAGCCACAGCCGGCTGTGCAATCGTGACACTCCATGCACGTCGTGGCTGCGTCAACACATCCTGCTCCCTGCAGCGCCTCAAAAGATGCCTCACTCCGTCCACTAAGTGCATCGATGCGGGTCGTGCCTGGGCTGTTCGTCAGGACCACAGCGATGTGAGGGTCACCGAGTCGCAGCATGTTTGTTGTGACGTTGTTGCATGGCACCTGCACACACACGCAGCGCCTGCATCCCTCCCTTTTGTGTTCGCCCTCTGCCGGAGTGGCCACACACACGGGCAGCAGCAAATTCACTTCACCCTCGACGATCCAAAATCAACACGGACATCCCTCGCGACGCAAAGATCTCAGTTGCCAGCACGGGCCTCCTGCCGCTCTGCCATCGACGCCGAAACACGGCACAGTGCACGCACTTATTTTCCTCGTGTTCCGTCAGCCGTTTGCTTCACACATTCTCCGACGGGCTGACGCCCACAAAAGCACGCCACAAAAGCCACTGTGATCGCACAAGCTCTTGCGATGAGCGTCCGTGTGTGCATGGATCCGCTGCTCACACGTGCTGGCAGGCAGCCTGCAGTCGGTGCCCTCGTGCCAGTCCATCGGCTCCAGCATGGGAAAGAGAAAATGGCCAATTCCTCGTGTACTTATTCCCACCGGCAGTGCCAACACGCTGGTCGTCAGCCGTCATTCCTCAGCACATCCAGGAATGCTGAAAAGTGACGTGGAACCGTCAGCCAGCAATGCCACAATCCCCGCACACATGTCGGCTCCACCAGAGAAGACACACAAACTACAACACCCCTCACATGTTTTCCGAACATCATTCCGACACACCGCGACATGCCAAACAGAAGTATTCGTCACTCCATGCACCTCCCCACACAATCACATAGTCCATGCACCACGCACGGCAGCAGCTTGCACACACCATTAGGCATCCGGCCTGTTCCTCCAATCCTCCTTTCGTGCAGTCCGTGGGACGCACAGCAATGAGGCCGGCACCGCGTGTGGGCAACAAAAAACATGATGGAAAACACGTCACACATGAGAGTGTACAGCAACCGACCATTAAATAAAGGAACAGCAAAGATACTTATTATTCCAGGAAAACAACAAAACCAACAGTAAAATGTAAATAATAAAAGAAAACACGCATTCAACGCGGCACACGTTCTCCGTGAGGAGCCGCAATTCCACACTCTTTGGCTCACAAGACCGCCACAACTCCACACAATCGCAGAAGAAGCAGCAACGCCCAATACACGCACACACGCACAGTGCCGTCAACAGTTAACTCTCGCAGTGTCAATTTCGCGTCGTAGAGCAGGGCAAAGCAGTCGTCGGGACACACACCGCTCCCGGAACACTGCGCGGTGAATTCTCGTAATTGGGGTTCTCGTGTCCAGAGGCATTGCGTTGACTCAATCCGCCGGCATCATCCTCAGCAACAAATCCACTGCCTGCAACGCCATTTTCTAAAACGAGTGATTTGTGTCCAGTGGCGCTGCGCTCATTCACCTCGTCCGTGTTATCCGCAGCAACGTGTTCCCTGCCGCCATAAGTGACAGACATGATCCCGGATGCATTCAGCGCCACTACTATTCTCGGACCGTTGGCAAAGGAAAGCCTCTTCTTGGATGCATTCGGGACCATCACTTCGCTCGGATTGGTGGCAAACTCAGACTTCGTCTCGGACGTGTTGGTCGCCGTGTTGGATGCGGGACTCGGATCGACGGTGTTGGGTCCGCCAGCCGCCGCAGACTGTCGCCAATCCTCGTGTTGACGTGGCGGCTCAGCATCAACTTGCGGCGCAGTTGTCCCACCAGATTTTGTGTCATCCCTCCCTTCACGGGGTGGCGGCAACTGACAGATGCCTGTCCGGTCAGCATCGCTGCTCCGTGCAGGCGGATGGATGGTTCCATCGGAGGAAAATTGACGCCGCCACAATTCATAAGGGCCGGCGTATTTATGTGTCGTCACATTCATCGTGAAGGCAACGGTGGCCCCTTCCTCCTTCCTTGCACAGCTGGCAGCACAGTTGCTACATGTGTGCACCGCATTGGCCACATGGCACACAGTACCCAGCTCACCATTCCTGCTATGCATGCGCACATCAAAGCCACTGAAAGTATAATTCTCATGCTGAGCCTCAGCACTGGCAACAGAACACCTCTTCCACGCCCACACACCCACGCACGCGATAGCTCAGGCAGCCGTCACTCGGAGCACACGACACATCCACCGGCACAACCACCGCATCCGCATCACCAGATAAATGTCCAGGACTCCCAGCAGCCGTCACACACACGGACGAGCAGCAGCAGCAGCACGAGAGCGCAAGGACCAACACGGCGCACACCACACGGCGCCGCACCGTCACCATCGTCATCATCGCAGTCATGGTCACCCGTAGTGGAGTCGCTGGAGTCAGTCAGCTGATCGGTGAGACAGAAGGAAAAGAATGGGAAAAGAGGGAGAGGGACGGAGCACCGCGGATACAGCAAGAGAGAGAGAGCAGACAACATGAGGAGAGGGCAGCAGGCCCAGCCGCACACTTCACACACCACGAGACGGCATCCACGCAAGGAAGGCACACAACGCCAGCAGCCACCCGCCATGCAGCAGGAGAAGACATCCACCACCATCTCCCCCAGCTCATCGCCACAGCCCAGAGAAATGGCAAAAACCCGCGGCCACCACACAACGCACACGCGCAAGCGAACCCTCATCCATCCTTGACGCGCCACCAAAATTTCAGCCATCCCGCCCTCAATGGGACACGGAGCCCAACTCAACGCAGCCACACGCGGTGCTCCACACCCGCAGGAAAAGAGACTCGGGCAGCGCACTCCCTCCTCCCTCCTCCCTCCTCCTCACTTCTCCTCATGGCCACGGAAGAAGACAACAGCCGCCACACGCAACTGCCAGCATGCACTACAAAAGAAGCAATCAAATCCACCGCAATGTGCATCCTGTGTGTGTGTGGTTGTGTGTGCCTGCAGAAACACAAAGCATAAAAGTAGAAAAGAGGGAGCAGAGTGTGTGGAGAGACGCACAACAAAAATGTACAGCAGAGATGCATGGCAAAAACAACAACAGGAAGAAGAGCGCTCAAACTCATGACTGCACTGCAGCCCAAACAGCGGCAATTCACACAAGATTTATTTAAAACAAAAAAACTTTACCCTTCATCTTATATAAACCCCATCACACGAAATAATTATAAATAAAAAAGAAAAGAAATCGTCCATTACTGTTCCACACAAATTTAAACAACTGCTTGCCGTGTAGCCACACCAAACTGTCTGCATATATTTTGCCCGCAAAAGAAAATTAAATAGTTGCATATCTTTCAACCGTCTGACCCTCTGTGTGTCCGCACATCGTTTATATTTCATGGGGTCATCTGCGTGTTGCTGCTCCCCTCAGCCCTCTCATTGGCGCGTGAGTGCGGCCCGCAGAGCACAGTCACTCTTCTTGTGTGCATTGGGGACTGAGAGAAGCACGCAGACACGACAGGAGTCGCGTCACTCCATCGGGAGAGTGAGCGCAGAAAAAAAAAGAAAAATCATCGGAGGGAGAGAAATGCTCACGAGGCCGACCCCGAAGGGTGCGCCACCGCACGAAATGAACACGCAAAGCAAAACAAATCCTCAAAGAATAACACGGTGGCAGGGTGTGGCTGTGTGTGTGTGGCGCTGCGGGTGTCCGCCCGCCCTGGCCGCCAAAACAAAAAAAAAACAAAACAAAAGGGAAAGAAATGTGTGCTCCGCCCCACAGGCCCTCGTCGCACGCCCACACGTCACGGCTCCCTCAGCGCGCCGTTCGTCGCCGCCCCTCCTCATGCGTGCAGCAGGCGAGGCGCACAGGGCCGTCGTCGTCATGAGCGTGTCGGTGGGTGTGCGAGTGGAGCAGTTGGACGGGAAACACACGGCACCCCTCACAGGAAGAGTGCAGCAAGAAACAATTAAAAGGAGGGAAGAGTAGAAAAGAAAAAACGTCCATAGTGATTGCCCTAAAAAGCAAAAAAGAGAAGGGATGGGCGATGAGAGATTTGAAAAAAAAAAAAAGTAAAATCTACCAAAAAGAAGCAAACAGGAAAATAAATTTAAAATGCGCAAAAAAAAAAAAAGATTTATGAAAGTAAGTCGTTCCCATGGGGTAGTAATTCTGTTCTCGGGAGGTCGCAATTGTCCCACGCGGCAGCCAGTCACTCCTCACAGAGCCGCAAACCCCCACAGTCCCAACAGGAGAAGGAGCGGCAGTCCGCTCCCACACACAGTGCCAGCGTCGGTGTTATTCCCCTGCGACACATTTCCGAGGCTGCTGCTGAGTGCCGTAGCATTTACTTCCCTGACCTGTGAATGGATTCCCTCCTCCTGCCCATTCGTTCCTTCCACCTTCTCCCCATGCCCGCCAGAGCTCACGCTCACCTCAGGAGTTTGGGGTGATCCATTTCCCGGCATCGTATCTCCACTCCCTGTCACCACCGTTGGGCTAGCATCAGACGAGGGTGTCGTAGCAACGGAAGCTGCACTGGATACACCGCCAGCACCAATATTTGCCGTCAAAGGTTCCTCTTCCAACGGCCGTTGCCCGGCAGAATTGGGCCGGGGCAGGGCTACCTGCACATCTGGTGCAATTACCGCTGGTGACTGAGTATCCACCACCAATGTCTTCGGATCTTCCGGCTTCGGAATAGTAATTGTATTTTTGGTAAGCCCTGCAATCTCTTCGGAAGTCAACGGTCGATTGTACAACAATACGTTCTCCACGGTCACAGAGACGTCTCCTTGGCCCCCTGCGCTGCCTCCATCCCCTCCAATGTAGAAGTGGGAGATCTTTTTATCTTTCTTATTCTCCAATTCACATTGTGCATCTCCGACACGCTGACCATCAACGTACACGGAGCCCTGGGTGCCGTTCTGTAGCACAATGGCCACTTGGTAAGTTGTCTGTGGCTCCCAAGTGCTGCCGAGCTTCTCTGTCGTTTGGCCACTGCACTTTAATATCCACTTCTTTTCGCTGTTGTACGACAGTCCTAGGAGCACAGGATTATTATTGTCGTCATCCATCTTCGCACCCATCAATGGAACTGTATCTCCTTCCTTCGGCACACCGTCGATGGACACCGTCGTCACAAGAGTGAAGTTGTAGTTCGCAAAGTGGTAAAGCTGATTCTCCCCTTGCTTGCCAACGGGCCACTCCGCCCACGCACCACGTCCTTTAAATGTTACGCCATTTTCCGTTTTCTCAGCCCCTTCTTCCATCATTACTGTAGCATTCACCCCGAGGTAATCGTCCCTCCATGTGCTACCAGACAAGTCGCCAGACAAAAAGCCAACCAGCCCATCCGTGATCTTAACAGCGCTGCAGCCATTGTCAGCTGGGGTGTCCTCCAGAGCACTTTTAAAGGGGCACAGCTTGGAGACACGTTCGTCCACTTTCTTCCAGGTCGCCAGCACCTTCTTCACCCGCTCCAGCTGCTCAGTCAGACGCAGAGAAACCATACCGGGTGATGGTGTCTCCCCTCCGATTTCTTCTTCTCGTACAGTGCAATCAACTCCTCCT